CGATAACCTATGTATCTTAACTCTCCTGTCAGACTACTTGGACCGGACCGTGGCTCTTCGCCCGGAGGATTGTGACTCCCTCTTTATTGCATTAAAACGACCCTATGGTCCCGTAGGCAGCCAGACTATAGGCCGTTGGATTAAAAATAGTCTATCGATCTGTGGAGTGGACGGCGCATTTTCAGCTCACAGTACTCGGCATGCGTCCACATCCCTGGCAGCCAAGAGGGGAGTCTCAATAGACCTCATAAAGAGAGCTGCGGGCTGGTCCGGGGAGTCACGAGTAGTTGCGTCCTTTTATAACCGTCCGATAGTTGACTCGGACGCCTTTGCGAACGCTATTCTGTCTACGAGTACCAACTCTACTTTATCTGCGAGTACAAACGCTACATCCTAGATTATCCTATCTAAAAGTAGAAAGTTCAGTTAAATGGCGCGCGCGAAGCGCGCGTCTGTAGTACTATAAAAAAAAAACAAAAAAAACACTCACCGACGTGTCCTTTTAATTTCAAGCACGGCCAGATAACTCGCCAGATAACTTTGAACATCTACATAGTTATTTTCCATCCGGACGAGACCATAGGCATAATTATTTGATTAAACGAACTTACCTGTAAGTGAAGTTCGATCATAATTATGCTGGAGGTCTCGTCCGGATGGACACTTCCCACCCTAGTTCCTCTTTTGGCTTTGCCTATTCCCACCCTCAGGGTGGCGACTTGCTGGCCTTGGTGGATTTGAACTATGAAGAAACATGACGCGCACGCGCCAATGGTGGCTGCGCGCAAGCCGACAGCGGCTGCGCGGGAGGGCGCATTTTCACTCTGGCGGTGCAACTTTTTGAAAGTCTGTTCAATCGACGTGCAGGGATGCACTACTACATAGTTATTTTCCATCCGGACGAGACCTCCAGCATAATTATGATCGAACTTCACTTACAGGTAAGTTCGTTTAATCAAATAAGTTTGTATTTCTAAGCGGTCACCCATCCAAGCTATGTACCTATCCAACCTGCTTAACCTTTGTGATCGTCCGGGAACTGTTGCTTCGTGATGATCTGCTGAATAGAAGTTGTCAAGAAGATAGAATACATATATAGTTAAAATATATTTTATTTGTAAATATAAAATTTACATGTATTAAAGTACAAAATATATCGGAAGAG